TGAACATCAAATTTTGATGTTCATCAAAACATTTTTTGAACATCAGAAAATGAACATCAAAATTTACCTCTAATTGAAAGGGATGATATTAAGAGATGGTGGGTGCTTCACGGTGTCTGTTTTAAGCCCACGTCTTCATTGTTCTCTGTAACACAGCTTTAGCCCTTTAATGTTATTTCACCGAGTGACCAGAAGGCGTCGCTAGAAGACATTTTTCTCTGGGGTCGGTTCTCTTGCTCTCGGCCCCAAAGCAAGGGAAAAACAGACATTCCTTGGCTGGGATGTTGGTGCATCTTTTATCTAGCAAGTCAGACTTCGGCTCTGTGTTTCAATCAGCTGTAAAATCTTCAGGGCCATCTTACAGAAGGTACTTTATTATTTTTCCAGACCTGCTGTCTTCAGAATACATGAAATTCAAAATGTTAAAATGAGGTGGCTGTGGTCATGTCTTGGCCAAAGGCTTCTCACTTGTTGAGATTATGGCTCTATCACAAGGAAGAGCTTGGTGCTGAACTCTCTGTGGCTGGCATGTTTCCCTCCTAGATTGGCACTGTTGAAGAAGAGCGGAGAGGAAGACTGGAGAAACAGACTCAGCAGGAGGCAGGAGAGCGGGAAGGCGCCGGCCAGCAGCCTGCACACCCAGGAAGGGGGGCGGTCCCTCATCAAGAAGGTAACGTTCCCCATGTTAGGAAAGCATTGGGACTAACGTCACTCCTGGAAGTGCATCAGAGAGACACGCATGTGCCACCTAATTCCTGCTCTGTGAAGCATTTGTGCGTTTTTGCCCTTAGGATACACACTGAGGGTCTGTCACAGAGCACCTGAAACTGGGCAGGAGGCTGAGCCTTGAGATGCTTTAGAAGTGGGGTCAGCGACACATACACACGGTGTCAGTAAGCAACTGCCTGAAGGTTAAAGTGTGTACTTTTTCTTCACTTTAAAACCCTTCTTCAATGAAGTCTGCCTTTAGAACGTTATTAAAGCCTTTATAATGACAAAAATGGAATTCACCACTAATATCTTTAAGTTGCATGTAAAATATGGACTTGGGTTTCCTATGCAGAGATTTTTAAACCTAAGTATAAAAAGTAAGGACATAATTGTGGTTCATAGGTATTTAGTTCATCATTTGAAGCGTGTTTCATGAGTAACGGTATGTTATAAATTGAAACAAAATTAAGTCATGCGTGGTGATCCATGCTAGCAAGCATTTCGTATGCGTAAGTATTGGTGAGCTGTTAAATCACAGATGTGATCATGGCCAGCTTTTGACAGGCAGTGTGCACTTTCGTAACTGACGGTGCTTACTTGTTGGCTGGCCCTACAGCTGCAAATGCCCCTCCTGGCTGGAGGCGAAACGGTGCACCCGTGACGCGCTCCCTGGCCACTTTCTAGGCCCAGAAGTCTTCAAGTAGAAAAGAAAGAGTGCTTTCAGCCAGCTGATCCCCAGGCCCCTGTTAGCTCAAAAATAAGTTAAACTTCTGTGGAAGGACGAGGTGATGAGCATGACTTTCATGCATTAAGAAACTGACATGCAAATGAGGTGTGCACATAAAGTGTGAGTCAGGAGCTCTGGCGCTATTTCCTCTGATACTTCTGTGTCTTCATAGGCTACATTGGAATGGCAATTTGAATTATCTTCTTTGAGAAATACATGGTGTTAAAGATGATATAACTAAAGATATTTAACCTCAGCCATTTGTAAAGTTCTCAAATACAACTAGAAAGTATGTGCATATTTTCCACCCACCATGTGAAACTCGCATTTCAAAAAGGAGATCCTGAAGTGAAAGAAAACTGCATCTGTGAAATAATGTATCCCCACCCCCCACAAACTTTATTTAAAAGAGTCTTGAAATCATTGCTTCAAAAACGACTTTAACACGTTCCCCATAAGCAAACCTGCCGTTCCCCATAAGCAAACCTGCCGTTCCCCATAAGTAAACCTGCCGTTCCCCATAAGCAAACCTGCCGACTACTGTGTCCTGGCACTAAGCAGCACCTGGCCCCGGGGCCATCATTTTGGAAGGTGCAGAGACTCCCCCGTTCGTCAAGAGCTGGGAGTCCCAGAGAGCCAGGTGGAAATTTAAATGAAGCCGAAAAGCACAAAGCAGGAGAGGTTCCTGGTAAATAGGAACAGACTATTCACCTATTCAGACTATTCAAATGGGTACACTATCCACTTAGAAGAACGGAGGGTCACCTTAGGTGTGGAAGCCAGAACTCCCTCTCTTCCTCAGTGGCCTGGTTGCCTTGGCTGGAGAAAATGAGCTCTTTGAAGTTAAAATAAGGTCTATTTGAGGCCTCTGTAGCCCACACTGGGCAATCTCAGGTTCTGCTGAGGTCAGGTGTTTCTCAGGCGGCCTCTGGCAACCCCTAGTTTGTTCCTTCCCAAGGGCTGGCAGTGTTTTCAGTCCCCCGCTGGCTGTGCTCAAATGTGGTCGGTGAGTCGCCTTCAACCTGGTCTGTCTTAAGGGAGTCCCCACATAGCTGAGGGGCTGCCCTGCCCACTGCTTGCGGGTGTCTGAGTGCTGCCTTGGAGAAGGACAGACAGTCATGTCACGCGGGGCCTGAACATGGGCGCTTGCTGCAGGGAGTAGCTCCTGCCTTGCTGATGGAGAGGCACCCAGGAGAGCAGTGCTGGGACCTTCCATCCGCAGCACCAAGGGCAGAAAGGAGCCAGCGTACGGTCAGCTCGGCACGCCAGTCACGGCTGCTGTGTTCCTGTTGTGTGCTGAGAGCCTGCTGCCGCGAGTGTGCGGTGTGTGGAAACGCAGAAGGGGCAGGAAAGAGGGGACTCCACACGTTCCTTCCATTGCACCCATGAGAATACATGCAGGGTGGCAGTCAGTGCTGTCCTATAAAAATAGAAAGTGTGCCACATAGGTCATTTTGAAATGTTCTCAGTGTCACATTAAAAAATACATTAAAGGCTGGGCATGGTGGCTCATGCCTATAATCCCAGCACTTTGGGAGGCCGAGGCAAGGGGATCACGGGGTCAGGAGATCGAGACCATCCTGCCTAACATGGTGAAACTCTATCTCTACTAAAAATACAAAGATTAGCTGGACGTGGTGGCAGGCACCCGTAATCCCAGCTACTCGGGAGGCTGAGGCAGGAGAATCGTTTGAACCCAGGTGGCGGAAGTTGCATTGAGCCGAGATCGTGCCACTGCGCTGCAGCCGAGGGACAGAGGGAGACTCCGTCTCAAAAAAAATAATACATTATAGGATGCCTTAAAAAATCTATACCTGTTTTGTCTCTGTCAGTGGATTAGTCTCAAAAGAAAACATTTGAGGTGCCCCAGCCAGCATCTCATTTTCGGTCTTTTGTGTAAAGATTTACTTTGGGGCCAAGCACAGTGGCCATGCCTGGAATCCCAACACTGGGAGGCAGAGGTAAGAGGATCGCTCAATCCCAGGAGTTCAAGACCAGCCTGGGGAACATGGTAAAACCCCATGTTTACCCTACAAAAATTAGCCAGGTGTGCACATGTGGTCCCAGCCACTTGGGAGGCTGATGCAGGAGGATGGCTTGAGCCCCGGAAGTTGAGGCTGCAGTGAGCAGTATTTGTGTCACTACACCCCAGTCCGGGTGACAAAGCAAGACCCTGTCTCAAACAAAAACAAAATTCGGGGCCTGTGAGTAGATATTAAGCTAGAGTTTTCATTTCTGTACTAAAAGTTCCCACACATCTCAGGAAATGGAAGACTCATCAGCGATTCCTTTTTTCCCCATTTCACTCCCAAAAATGAAGACTGATGATCTAGAGCTAAAGAGCACTGATTGTTACCTGGCTGTCTCTGTCGTTTCCTGTGAAAAACTGTGGGTATTCTCCTTCTCTCCCCCACTTTTCTTTCTTTCTCTTCCTTGCGTCCCTTCGTATCTTTCTCCTGTTCTTGGTTTAGCCTGGCCCAGGCTAACCTGACTGAAACGTGGGTTCCTCTCACAGCATATTATACTTAGTCTAAAGGTGTTCGGCTGTTTGGCTTGTGGATTTGGCCTGGTCTGCACCGTGTGGTTTGTGTGCACTTGAGCATGGCTTATGTACGGTTTCCTCCAGAGCCACCCATTCCACCAGAGAGAGAGAAATGAAACGAAGCAAAGTCTCAAGGAAGTGGCTGGGCAGGAGTCTCTGTTGCAATTAGCTTTCAGTTATGTATTTATTTTCACCAAATAATTATTTTCCATTTCTGCTTATTCCGCATTAAGGCATACACGGTGACTCCTGTCTGTTGTGAAGGTAGCCATCCAGCAAATCAGACCTTTTCCAAGAAGCGAAAACCCTTCCTAGACTTGTGCGTTAAAAGCCTGTGTCTGTTTCTGAGTTCCAGGTGGGAACTGGATATCCGACTGTGCTTCAGGAGCTGTGAGGTCGGTGTCTCCAGCTCAGATCTAACAGCCCCAGAGCAAGTGCCGGAAATTTCAAGAAAAGTGAATCTGGCACATCCATATTCTCAGTATCTGCAGTCATTGAAATTCCAGATCACAATCCAGGAGAATTTAGAGAATGAAGTCACTTTAGAGGCTGGGAGGGAGAGAAAGGCTGAGGGAGCTCCAGATGATGGTGATTCTGCGGTGAGGGAATGAGGTGGCCTGAGGTTCAGTCACCGCCTGGTGTGCGCACGTGCATGCTGCCCTTGAACCCGGCACGAAGTCCTTCCCGGTGATTGCGACGCCCTGACAAGGCTCTTCCCTTCCAACACCCCGCAACGTTTCCTGTTTGTTTCAACCTGTAGGAAGAAGGAGGAGTTGCGGATGATAGTGCCATTTCTAACCTGCTTTGGGTAAGCCTGACTCTAACACAGGTGTCCTCTAGATGGTGGCTGGAGTCACACGTCGCGTGGGTGATTCTCATCCTGGGTGCTCCTTCGGGCGCCCTCCCTGTGCTCCATCTCCAGACCAGACGCAGCCTTTGTCTGCAGTGGAGAGCTGAGCCCACGCCCTTAAGTTATTTTTTTGATCATGTAACGAAAATACTTTAAAGAAGGTGATATTTTCTGTTAAATGTTAAAACTGTCAATGAAAGTCATCGTTCCCTCTCTGCAACTGACAATCGTCTATAAATTAACTCATTTAATTACTGCACAAAGCTGACTCAGGTGCAGTTACCTCGAGTGTGTGGATTTATTTTAGCATTAGCACTTACGGGAGGACTCTCTTGAAAAAACTGAAATTGCAGCCAGCGAATTAACATTCTGTTAGAAAAATCATTGTTTTGTCTCTCCCTCCCCCACGTCCCTGCCCGGCCCGGCTCTGATAAATCTTCTCCTTTCACCTTTAATCCTCTTGCTCTGCTCTGTAGGAACCTGTACATGCTTCTACTTATTCTCCTGCTATTCCTGCTGCCCATAAATACCTGTGTTTTGTGTCGATTAATCAGGTGAGGAAAAGCCGCTCGTCTTAAGCCTCGATGCAATTTCTGAGCAGCAGGGGAAGAACTTCTGTTTAATTTGGGGAAATAACTTATTTGCTGCATTTCACTGTGAGAGAGAGGGGTGTGTGTGTGTGTTGGTACAATTGTGTGTGTCCATGAGAATGTGTATGTATCTATGAGCGTGTGCATGAGTGTGTATCTGTGAGAGTGCATGTGTGTGTGTGTATGTGTGTATCTATGAGTGCATTTCTGGGTGTGTATCTGCGAGAGTGTGTGTCTGTATGTGTGTGGGTATCTGTAAGAGTGTGTGTGTGTGTGTGTGTGTGTGTGTGTGCGCGCACCTGCATATGTGTGTGTTTAATTGGTTCTTCATATATTTAGGGTCAGTCACACACACACTGATCCTCGTGCAGATTTTCAGGTGGGCTTGGTGGTATTAATTCACCTCATAGTCATGAAGCTGGTTTAAGAGGAGAGTGTCCCCTCAGCCTCCACGCTTTCCACCCCGAGTCAGGAGCCCAGGAGATGCGCCGGTGTCCGTGGCTCCGGCTCAGTGAGGCTGTTGTCCTGCTCAGTTCACAGAGGAGGAGGATATGGTGGAGGACGTTTGGGGTGTGGAGGGACAGGGAGACCCAGCGAGGGGAGGCCCCTCCAGTGGCCCTGCTAAAGCAGCAGGAGGAGCTGGTTCCAATGGCCCTATTAAAACGAGAGACCGGCTGGGTGCAGTGGCTCACACCTGTAATCCCAGCACTTTAGGAGGCCAAGGCAGGCGGATAATGAGGTCAGGAGATCGAGACCATCCTGGCTAACACGGTGAAACCTCGTCTCTACTAAAAATACAAAAAATTTGCCAGGCGTGGTGGATTACACCTATAGTTTCAGGCAGGAGAATTGCTTGAACCCGGGAGGCAGAGGTTGCAGTGAGCCGAGATCACGTCATTGCACTCCAGCCTGGGTAACAAGAGCAAAATGCTGTCTCAGAAACAAACAAACCAGAACAAAAAAAACGAGAGACCATGGGCCCCCTGCCCCTTCCCTCCACCCTTGCTGTACTCACTCTGAACCCCATCCTGGAGGGGAGACCGGCCTGGGCTGAGCCACTCTGTAGGTGAAGAACATGAAACACATAAACAGTTGTTTTTTTATTTTTCTGTGGAATATCCCTGATGTCAAAACAGCTCCACTTTGCTATAAAACTGGGTTCCTGTCTCCTCCCTGTGGGGCTTTGCTCCATCACTTCCCTCTGGGCCCTCTGTCCCTTCCCTCTGGGGCCTCTGTCCCCTCCCTCTGGGCCCTCTGTCCCCTCCCTCTGGGCCCTCTGTCCCCCCCCCC